AATGTTAGAACACGGTTAACAAAACCAAGTTCACGCTTAAAAGTTTCAAAACCCTGTACAATGACTGACTGCTCTGTGACTTTGGTCAGTTGTCTTATCTTATCCCAAGATTTCATTTTACAGGCTGTGATGAACTGTGGTGAACTAGAAAGGAACAGACATTTTTTAAATGAACTAAAATTTTATAATCTACCGATGCATCTTAGAGTGATAATTAATTCGGTGTATTATTAGTGCATTGCTCCACTTCAGTCCACAGTCATTTTTTGCAAATATCTAAAGCACATTGTATTCATAATTTCAGCAGAAATGTTTAAATTTCTCAGACCGTCTCAATATTAGAAATAAATTGCCTCAGAGTATTATCTGATTAGCAGAAGAGCCATTTAACTTTCTGTTGTCCAGCCTAACTAATTTGGACTCTGCTCTGTGGTTATGTAACCTAGTCTGACAGTATCTACAGCCGATTTATTTCCACTTCTCCTCTATGTCCTTTGACAGGCTAAACATATCTTTGGAGAAATACCCAGAAATAACTCAGTTTTCTTTTCACATAGCCAAGCCATATGGTTAGTATCTGCACTACAAACAATCATCCTGCATGTGACGGTAGGATTCACAGCGCTTCCACAGCGCAGATGATACAGACTGTTTTCACAGTCAGCTCAGCAGCCACAAGCCTCAGAATATGCCTTAACCACACACTTTGTTGAAAAATGTTTTGGATTGTGCCTCTTGCTGTAAGCCACATTATGTAAGTGCTGAGTGTGAGGTGTCACAAGCTGGCTGGGAGCCAGTATGGTGCTGTGGATGTTTGGTTGTGGGTGTAGGTGTTAAAAATATCTTGTATGAATAGCTCCTCCGAGGATATAAGCTCAGAGTGCAACAAATTATCATGCACCGCTGCTGTGATTGTGTTGTGAGATGCAGTGATGTAATGTATGATGGCTGAATCTACCTGCTAACTCATAAAAATGTCTATAAATTAATTGGGTTTTGATAGAAAAATTCTGTTGCTTAGTTATAAAGCACTGGAGCGGGCTATTTTTTTTTGCTAAATTCGCCTTTATATATAGCAACATAATATAATGAAACAATATAAACATCTATTAGTTTTTGTGTTTTTGTTTTTTTAAACTTATGTTATCTAAATTTTACTAAGAAAAGAAATGCTAACTTAAAAAATATACTTTTAAAAAATTGGGTAAACCTTTATGGAATGCAGTCATATCCGTCATACAATTGCTGATCAACTTTTAGGAAGTTTTTATTAATGTTATGACAACACATCTTTGCGGGTGACAGGATGCCTTGTCATCCATTCAGTCTTAAGCTCTCTTCACTTTTTGTTAGGATTTAAAGTGGTTAAAAAAAAAACTAAAACCATATACTCATTTTAACTAAGCCAAGCATTCTTCCTGATAGTGTTTACTTTGTCCTTTTTAAACATTAAAATTATGTTTGCTCTGGGAGGATCGCTAGATGCGTCCGCTTTTGAAAGTACTTCCTAGTTTAGTAATTGCATGCAATGTGCAACATGGTACCTCTGGGTAGGTGCTCTATTTGAGGTAAATATGCTTAAATTTACTAACAAATGGACCAAATAAAAAAAAAGTGAACAGAAATAATGAGCTTCAATTGGGGAGCCTTTGTATGCAACCAGACCAAACTACTGCTGTAGAAATTCCTCTTAGAACATGACAGACCCCTTTAAGCCAGGACTCTGGTAGGGCAACTCCAAAAAGTTTTATGCATGTGATACCTTCGTTAATTGCAAGTATGCAATTTCAGCAGGGTTGCTATTAGTCTGTTTTTTCCTTCTAAAAAAAGATGACCATGTTTCTTTGGTAGCTTGATAGTAACTAGTTATATAATTACATTTACTTAAGTAACTTTTTGGAAAACAAATGAGTCATTTTAAATAACTATACATTTTACTTTTACTTGAGTTTTACTATTTTGCAATATTGCTTCTCTCACTTAGGTGGAATTTCATGCTGTTCTACCCACCTTTGCTTATTTCACAGAATGAAGATCATACAAGTTTGGGCCAACAATGCACAAAACAAAAACACTTCCAGTCTAAACTCCAGTCAGACTTCTTATTTGGAAACATGCTCCCCTGTTTTGATGTTATTTTGTATTTGCTGAGTCTGCTGAACAATTTGAAGGGCAAGCTCTATTTACCATTTATAATAAAAACAAATAATTTGAAAATGAATTTCTTCTCCCTGAAAGTATGTTTTTTTTTGTAAAGATAAGTATGCTACATTCATTTATTAGTAGATTCTTTTAAATCTGCAAAAACAGTATTTCTTTGTTTCTGATTACATTTTAACAAATTAAATCAGCCCTTATATTTTTTCATTATTTACCCAGTACCACATACTTATATAGTCCAACTTTATTTATGTTTGAATGGTCATATTTTACCTTTATTTGAGTAAAATAAAAAATAGGTATATTGTAGAATTGCTATTCCGCCTGTCAACCCTACCAACCTCTGGTGTCATATCTAGCTTAAACACACAGTCATGTCCAAGTTTAAAAAAACCAGGCCCAAACTTCCACTCTTAGAGAAAGTAAACTATGATAGAAAGCAGACAAGGTAGCAACAAATACAAGCATGGTGGAGTTAGCATCATACTTTAGGCTGGTTTATGCTTTACGCTTCTGCAAAGTCTGAGTCGAAATATTGTAGACAAGAGACAGTTCCTACTGGTTAAGGGTGACTAATATAAACATCTATAGAAAATCTACAATTTAGCACTTAAATCTTATCACAATCAACTGAATCTGAACAACTGGTGGTGAGAAATTTGTGATTACATTAAGAAGCATTGAAAATGAAACAACTGCTGAAAACTGTGGTATCGTTGGAGGTTTATAGCAGACAATATACCCACAGTAAAAACTGTTTTGGGTAATGGATCAAGAAGAGAATCTTTATGGAATGGCTCTCTGCTTTGAACCTATTCTCAAACAATGCATTATGATTAAAGACAGGCTCCATACCACCAATCCTAAATGTATAAAATAATTCTGCCAAGAGGAATGGACGATGGAACACCAAGAATTATGCCAAAAAAGTGTTGCTTTCCGCAACTTACTAGGATAATGAATAGAGGTGAGTATTGGCATGAGTGTTGCGATTCGATACATGGCGCGATACTTGGGTCACGATACGATATTATAACGATATTGCAGTAGCACTATATATTGCCATATTTTCCCCAGCTATCAAAATCAAATGATGAGATAAAACAGCAAGTGCTGTATATTTTCATCAGAAAATATTGATTAGGTATTATTATCCATGTTGTTTGGGGTTTTCTTCCACTGTGACTTCCTTAAATACAGATTTGGTGCTGCACGCACAGTTAAAGGGCTCCACAGCGCTTTCTGCCAGAGTGGTGGTGCAGAGGTAGCCCATTTTCCCATCAATGTTTTATGTAACCATTTTTTTTTTAAATAGATACTAAGAAGTGAAAGATTGATATTATATTGGGCAGCCGAATATCACGATATATCGCCAAAAGGATTATTTCCCACACCCCTAATAATGAATATAGCAAAATATGCAGGAATATTCAGGAATATGCAGAAACTGCAAGTTCTGTACCAGCTTTTTTCCTGCTGCCATCAGACTGTTAAACTTTTGGAACTCTAATCAAGTCAGAAATCGAGACTGCATCACACTTGTAAGCATCATATTTGCACCACATGGGGAATTTTTAAATACCTTTAAATAGAGCTCAACTCAATGTTTCTACTGCATTTGCTCTGTATTCTTCTGATCACTGGTGCACTTTAAAAATGGAAATGTTAATTTCACTGTACGCTGCTCACTTACTGTTGAAAAGCTGTATGCATCTAAATTTTGTTTTGTATACACTGTGATTACAAAATGGCAATAAGGTTTGTCTTAGTCTAAGTCTATTTAAAATTCTTATTTTAAAAAGGAAGGTATTCACTTGGATTTGACATTATTTCAACATATGCTCAGAAGGAGTGCAGGTAAAATGTCCATGCACAACTTTGGGTTAGTTCAGAGAATATCTGGGGTAAAACCTGCAAACTTTCCACTTGGTCTGAGGAAAATATACATTCACTTTTCATACTAGCTGATCTCATGGACTCCTGCTCCTCTTTACACTCTTTTTACTGAGCGATGTAAACAGAGAGAAATTTTCCTCTGCTTGTTAAACCATCTTTCTACTGCCAAATGCTGCTCAGCACTACCTTAAATGCATCCAAAGCTCACTTTTCCTGTTCCACGCCTTCAACTTTTTAGACATGGTTAAATGTAATATACTAGAAAGTCTTGGATCAGTAAAGCCAGTTTATTAGAGTAATTATGAGTGCCACACAACACTCGTGTTACTATGTTCTCCTGCTTGGACCTGAGGGGGGGAATTTTAACAATTATAAATAAGCCTTTTGGGGAAGAACTGTCTACTGGGGAGAAAAAAATGAACCTTAATTTACTAAAGAGCTATATAAAAATAGTATCATTCAATATACTGTTGAAATTAATTAGAAGTAAAAAAAAAATGATAATAGGAAAGTGCAAGATCTGTGCTGCAAAGAAAAGAGTCCAGATTAACATAAGATTAACATTCATAATTAAATATTTTCTATTCTGAGCCAACTTGATATACCATATTGCCTATATATTAAAGGTTAAGCTGTTTAGCCATATCCCCTACAAAACAAAGTAGGTATTGAATTTAAAAACAAATCGATGAGCAATAATATCCCAACTTTAGCTTTCTTACCCATCAACAGTATAAAGCCATATATTAACACAATGCACAGCACTGTAGGAGCCATACTTTCCAATGAAAACATGTAAACTAAATAATCTCACTGCATCTCTGTACCTCCCCATGCATCTGCCGCCCTGGGCAGAGAGCCACATCCCAGATATTAAAAAACAGTACTGTTAATGCCCGTTCAATAGAGACTTAGAGTTGAAACAGAAGATGAACGTTACATACCTTGGAAGACATCCACATGCCGATTATCTTATGTGCTCTGAGATAATCAAAGTCCTCTTGAGCAAAAAAAGAAATAGATTATATGTATCTTTTTGTGCACAGAGTCCAGCAGAAAGGAGGGAAAGATGCTCATAATCTCTCCTTTGAAAGAGTTCCACGTCAGAGTCTTTTATGCCGTAACTTCCCATCTTCATCTTTGTAAAGGGATACTGTCATTTTGAGGTGCTCTTAATGAAAACATGTTGTAGACTAGGCTTTAGGATGATCCGTAGAAAACCTGGGTCTGAGTGACTTCTCCAGCCATTTTAAACAATGATGACTCCTGTGCTTAGCTCTCATGGTGGGTCTTTTTATTTTTGGCCTCTTATGGAAAAGCTTATTTCATTATAGCCCTGGTTCATTTAATGCCTGCTTTATGATCTCATCAATGTGTAGATAAGTTTTGTTTGAGTATATTAAATGGACATTGATTAAAAACCTTCTCTCTTAGGCTTTTTATATAATAGAGCTCAGAGTTGTTGTTTTTTCTTCTCTGGCAGCCTATGTGAAATAGTTTCCCAATTTTCTCTACTCATACAGTCTGTATCCAGGTGAGCAGAGTGCTGCCATCTGTATGGCCTACAGTTACTGTCTCTAACCCAGCGCAAATTCTACATTATAGTGCAAACAAATTTAAACTTTATTGCATAACAGCAAAACAAACGACCGTCCCTATCTCCTGTAATGTGACAGATGAAAGTCATAAAGTGCGAATGCATAGCCTGGTGCCTAATTCAGATTCCATGTCAGATTTGGAAGCCCACACTGAATGAACGGATGTATCTGAGTCTATCAGGCAGATAGAAGCTCTCGATGCCAATTGATGCCCTATGAGTGTGAATGTGTGCGTATGAGAGGCGTGCGTAAAACCCATAGGCCTATTGAGGGGGGATGTTATTCAGCTGCTGTTGGGCAGGAAGTGTCTTTAATCTGATGTTGTTCTTATTTAGAAAACAATAGGATAAAACTTTAGTCACACGTCAGTCTGAATTGATTTAGAGTTTGTACTGTTTTTCCTGCTTATGTCTGTGCCGTTTCCTTTACTGGGGCTCTTGTCCAGCCCGCAGAGCGACTCCGTCACCCCCTCCTCCATCTCCATGTACTCCCCTTTGTCACCCATCGAGGAGCCAGAAGGAGAGCCTTTGAACTTCCTTAGAAAGTCTGGGAAATACGGGCAGGCGGGCGGCATGCTCTCCACCACAGGAGACTGGTCCTCGTTGTCGGTCTCCCGGTGGTAAAAGTAGTTAAAGTTGGACACTATGACGGGCACCGGGAGCGCGATGGTCAACACGCCCGCGATCGCGCACAGGGAGCCCACTATCTTCCCACCGACTGTGATCGGCTTCATGTCGCCGTAGCCCACCGTGGTCATGGTAACCACGGCCCACCAGAAAGCATCCGGGATGCTGGTGAACTGTGAGGTGGGCTCGTCCGCCTCGGCGAAGTACACCGCGCTGGAGAAGAGGATGACGCCTATGACCAGGAAGAAGATGAGGAGAGCCAGCTCCCGCATGCTGGCGCGCAGAGTATGTCCCAGTATCTGCAGCCCCTTGGAGTGCCTGGACAGTTTGAAGATGCGGAACACCCTGACCAGGCGGATTATTCTCAGGATGGCAAAGCTCATCGCCTGTTGCCCGTTGCCCTGATGCTGCGCCAGATCCGTGCCGAGGGTTATGAAATAAGGCAAAATGGACACGATGTCTATAGTGTTCATGATGTTTTTAAAGAAAGCGGGTTTGCTGGGGCTCGCAAAGAAGCGAACTATAATCTCAAAGGAGAACCAGATGATGCAGACCGTCTCCACGATGAAAAACGGGTCGTTGAAGGGCGTAAATCCGTGGTCGGGCTGAGAGGAGTTCAGCCGTGGCTGGAGGTACTCTTTTTCATCCCTGAACTCCGGCAGCGTCTCCAAGCAGAAGATGACAATTGAAATGACTATAACCAGGACGGAGACCACCGCTATCCCTCTGGCAGGAGTGGAACTCTCCGGGTACTCAAAAAGCAGCCAGATCTGGCGCTTGAACTCGTCCTCAGGCAGAGGTTTCTCCTCCTCTTTCACAAACCCTTCATCCTCCCGAAACTTTAGGATTGCTTCCTCGCCAAGTTCATAAAACTTTACCTCCTCTGAGAAAATGTCAAACGGGACGTTGGCGGGTCTTTTTAACCGCCCTCCTGACTGGTAATAGTAAAGAATAGCGTCAAAACTCGGCCGGTTCCTGTCGAAGAAGTATTCGTTCCTCAGCGGGTCGAAGTACCTGATCCGCTTATCGGGGTCTCCCAGCAGGGTGTCCGGGAACTGAGTGAGAGTCTTGAGCTGAGTTTCAAACTTCAGCCCCGACACGTTGATGACCACCCGCTCGCAGCAGCCGCAGTCGCTGTAAACGTTCTCGTATCCGGACTGGGGTCGCCTGTCGGTGATAGACACCGTCTCCTCCTCATCATCCATGTTGCACAGAAAGCTCGACCTCTTGCTCCCCCGGCCACCCCCCGCCGCCTCTCCCCCTTCTACCAACTCCTCCTCCTCTTCCTCGGCCTCCTCCTCCTCTATCATGATGTCCTCCTCGGATCCGAGCAGCGCCAGCTCAGAGTGGCGCAGGTCTCCACCGAGATTCCCCCGGTTGCGCCTCCACCGACCGACGCCGCGCTGCTTTTTCCGCTCTCTGAGAACTCTGTGCTGCTGTTGCTGTTCGGGCTCCTGCTGTGAGGAGGAGGAGGAGGAGGAGGAGGAGGGGCGCGAGGCGGCGCCGCTGCTGCTGATGTTGCTGGAGGAGGAGGAGGAGGAGGTGGCGGCGCGCGGTTGATGCTGGCGGTTGTTAAGGAGATGAGAGCCCGAGGAGGTGGCGGAGGTGGCCCCCCCTGCGCCTCCCTCTGCACCGGAGCCTCCTTCGCTCGATGCAGCCACAGCCGCCGCTCTGGTCTGAGCGACCTGGCGCTCTCTCTCGCGCTCCCTCTCCCGCGCGCGAGCTTGGGCATATCCGTACGGCAGGTGACTGTTGCACCCGCCGTCCGCACCCACCATGGCAAACTCCATTTTTCTAAATCCGAGGTTCGGTCTAGGAAGGCTACAGCAGCCTTCTCAAGGTGGATGCAGACCAGTGGATAAAAGTTGCAGTTCCGTCGCGATGCGCAGAGATGATGAGACATCAACCGTTTAGAAAGTCAGACTAACAGACGCACATCAGTGAGGTCCAGGTTGACTGGAGCCCGCTTTGCTTCTTACATGATAAAAAAAAAAAAAAAACACTGATGAGCATATCTTGTTGCGCTCGGTGTATAATTCATGACATCATTACCATAACCAGAAAACACCAGGGCCGTGGCATAGCCTGTTACGCAGACGCGGTGTCAAACTTGCAGCGCCCTTTCTATGTTCAGCATGATAAATCACCGAGACATCAAGCGACACCCAAACAGTCTGTGCTCAGTTTCCTTGATGCCCATCAGGTGGTTAATTTCACCCCCAAAAAAGCATCTTTTGATCCTCCTCGGTCGCCCATGGTTACCATGATTGTTTTAAAGGATCTTCGCTCTTACATGTTGGAGCTCCGATTAATCTGATCGACTTTGCTCCTCCGATGCGCTCAGCAGCTGGCAGGAAGAAAAAAAAGAAAACACCAATAGGTTTATGCCAAAAAAAGAAAAATAAATAAGGGATCCGTTTATGTTAATGTTTTTTTTTTTTTTTTTTTTTTTTGGGTGAACAACCCATATTACACAACTTAACCGCTCTATTACTATAATTGGCAATAGTAAACAAACATTCTAGATCTAAAGCAATATATATGCTCACAAAAAAAAATCTTTTCATAAACATTTTCAATCTTTAATCCATACTTACATTTTAAAAAAGGGGGGCAAAAATAAATCGCCTCCTCCCACTAACAGAAGAGGAAGGATGCTGGGTGAGGATGCAGCTCTCCTTCTGCGCTCATCCCCCCGTCTTGATTTTGGGGTGTAAAATAACAAATCCCTCGTCGTATCCAGCGGGCGACCATATCCACATCTACGTCCAGTAAATACATCCGCGCTCTGACGCACTCTGAGGAGGACACTTTTTTTTTTTTTGGCTACGTCTCGACGCCTTATTCCAATTCAACAGGATCTAGTGGCACCTGATCCCCCGTATGTGCTGCATCGCTCCTGATATACCGTCGACAACAATCATGACAACAACAAAAAACGGAGAGAGAGAAGGAGAGGGCATAACCAGGTGTGCCAGCAACGAGTTGGCATCAGAGACAGTTCCATTCGATTGCAGCAAAAAGAGAAGAGGGTTGATAAAAGTTTATATTGGCACAGGCGAGGCTGGATGAGCCCATGGTTGAGTCTGAGCATCACACATCTGTCTGTCTGCTTTAGCTCTACCTATACTCCCGTATCCCTCCCATTGTGTGTGATGATGGAGAGTCTAAAGTCGATCATGTACCGCAGCGCGCGCAGACGGTGCTCGGTCCTCCCCCAGTGGATGCGGCCGGTCACTGCGCACCGCTCTGCAGTCTCACAGCCTGCTCTGTCCTTCATAAGGACGCAACCGGTGGCTTCTCTATGAAAAGTTACGCGTTACTTTGCGTTCATCCCAGCAAAATGAAGGTTGCTGTAAAGCATGATGCCCATCTAATAATCCTTTATAGGGCAAGTTACCATTTTTGATCACTTGCATACTCCTTACAAATGGAGTGCAATTTATTTCACTCTCAGGGTGTTTTTCATGAATTTCTTATAGAAGCACTTTTCTTATTTTTCTTAATTTATACGGGGAAGTTGGCGTTTCTTGTTATTACATTGACATTCATTTATGCCATCAAAATATGTATATTTTTTTTAACGTTACAAAGGTAATAAGGCCTTGTCCTCGATTCCAATAAAGCACTACAAAAATGATCTACACATTTGTGAAAATGTCTTAAAATAAGTGTATTTACCGTTAATTTGAGTAGGTAAATAAGAGAATCTCCCAGTTGAAGGAGCATTGTTATCCTTAAAATCAGATTATTTGATATTATGCACTTCAAATAGGAGACTGCATTTATTTCCTTTATTTTAAATGTAAATTTTCTTATTCCATTTGCAAAGTATCTCACCCGCTCAGTTCAAGAAAAAATGCACTTATTTTAAGAAAAACCAACTTACTTAGATTTCAGTTTTTGTGCAGTGTACTCTTTGCTTGAAATTTAGATAGTCTTTCACTGAATGCCCTATAAGGGTTAATAAATAAGCACATAAATCGTTGGGGGGTCAGTCTGTTTCCATAATTCTGGTCAATTTAAGAGCCTCTTGTGTTCATCTGTATTTGATCTGACTCTGTATTGATCTGCAAATTTAGGTTTTATTTTTAAAACACATATCTAACCTTTATCTGGGATTCCAAAGAAAGGTGAAGTAGGTAAAAAAAAAAATTGACTATTTTTCAAGGCTGCACTTTTAAAAAGATGAAATTGCCCAGTGAACTGTTTCCAAACAGAATTTCTTTTTGTTTTACACTTGTGTCAACAAATAGACAAATAAAATCTGTCTAAAGTCTATAAAGTATAAAGTAAAAGGATGTGTTCTTAGTTTAATAGAGTTCTAAAAACAGCCAAGGTAAAAATAAAAATGTTTTTTATTAAATCGATACTTTGTAATAATTCAACTGTAATAATATATGTTAAACTGGCTTTATAAGCTATTAAAACAATTAAAGGTCAGGCTCCAAAAAACTTTTTGTGCTGATGCTGAAGAAAACTTTTTGGGAAAGAACTTGACTCTTCAATCACTCAACAAGTAACACACTACAAGTGTTCACAGTTAAAAGCTGCTTCATTTACTAGTTTTACTATTCATAAAGAGCAGGCAGTATTTTAGAAGTATTTCTTAAAGCTTTGAAATTCTTTGCATACATTAGAATTACCTCTGGGACTAAACTCTGTTAACGCCCACTGATTCTGCCTCCATCCAGTGCATGATTAATACAGCCCTCTAATGGGAATATCACCTGTTTAGAATGAGGAATTAGTATTACTCACTTGGTATTTGCGGATATTAAAATCCTGCAGAGTTATGTTTAAAAGTAAAAACTTACACTTTCTTAATCCATTCAATATAAAATCCTCAATCAAAATTGGAATGATGTTCCAACCTACAAATAAATAAGTAAATAAATGAGGTGTTATAAATAAGCCAATATATTATATTGGTATGATACAATTTCTTGTGCTGGAATTACAGTATCAGAGTAAAGGAAGAGTACTAAAGCACACCACACTTTTCAGGTTAGAATTTTGTTTATAGCATCACTTTTTGTTTAAATCAGACACTTTTAAAATGCAAATTTGATTCAACTTGTTAAAAGTAATTTTGGTTTTAATGAAAAGGTCCAGTCCCTTGTCAAGAACCTAAAACTTCACAAGACATTTTATTCAAAGCGGATGAAGAAATAAGTCAGTCTGTCAGAAAAAAGGAAACGCATACATTCTGGAAAAAAATAACAAAAAATACATTTTCTTCCTTTACCCTGAGATAATATCTTAAGTAGAAGAAAAAAAAAAAAAATTATCCATGTGGACAAAGGAACGCTCTACATTTCGATGTATTTACTCATCATGTGGAAACATCTAAATAAATGAAATGATCAAAGTCTGTGTGCCAGCAATTCCTTGAGAGAAATGTCTTGAATTATTTTATCATTTAGAGAGGAGCAGCCTGAAATGCATTTATTTATTGGAGACATACACACCAGCTTGAAGATGGTAACACAAGCGTCAGCATAACAAATTACTGCACTTAAATATTAATTAATCAAACCATGCTCTATATTTGAAAGTAATTAAGGGTTCAAATACTTTTATATTGATTTAGTATCATTAATGTTGCCTCATTTGCTTACATGATTTCCATTTTTGTGCCAAACTGAATGCTTATGGAAATGTGTTATTTTCAAAATGAAGGGCCTGACAGTTAAAGGAAACTATGATGAACTGTTTACAGCTTCGCCAGATAAAGAGGCGCATTAATCTGCTGTTCTGTTGCTATTTCTTTCATGAAACACAGACGTTGAAACACCTGAGTCCCTGTCACTGATCATTCAGCTGATTGCCTCCATAGATTTATCTGGATCCCATTGGGCTACAGAAGAGTAAAGGTCCAAATCAATGCACATTTGAAGCGTACTACTTTAAAGCTGATTGCTCAGAGATTTTTTTTTATTTTTTTCCACTACAGAATCCCTTCAGGGCTGCTGCTAGAGTACACAGCAATCATTAGCCATATCCAATTCACCTCTGCCCATCTGATTCATTAGAATCAAACGTTCTAATTAGGACAGATCAGCCCGCTATTCCAGATAGAATATTCCTCCAAGGGATTCAGATATTCTCATGAGGGTATCTAGTAAATCTCCTGTTATGATATTCCTGCAAGTTATTTTTGAATGCTTGCCGGCCTTGAAAAGTAACCCAGCCTTTTCTTCCTTTAGCTAAGATGAAAACTAAAACAAATGTATTTTGGTAATAATCACTTATGCTGATAGTGCAAATATCTCTCAGCGCCTCTTTAAAGATCACAACTCCACTTCCTCTTTCTTACACAAACTAACCCCTGATACATCAGAGGAGCTCTTGTCTGCACAACATGTAGGCAACCTTCCACCAATGTGACATTCATCATGCATCCCCACTCTTTGCATGTTATTGAACATCCACCTCAGTCAGCACCAGGGGGAGTTGTGAGGTTAGTAATAAGGTGAGATGTAGTGGCGTTGCTGAGCGCTTTATTAAATGTGGGTTATGATGCATTTTAAACAGGAGTCAGAGCTGCAACAGATCAAAGCTAGTCAAGAAATCCAACTTAAAGGCTTGTAGCATTGTATTATAATTCTTAACCTGTTTTTTGAGATTACTTTGAGTATATTTTGCTTTTGACAGTGTTTCTTGCAAGTATTTGGCAAATTGTAGAGCACAATAATGCTAAACTAAAGGCTCAATTTCTTAAATGTGTTAAATGTGTCAGCTTCAGATCTATCACACTGTAATTTTAACTGAAAGCCTTCTCAATAAGCAGTTTGTCTGGAAATTTATAAAACAATAAAATCATCTCAGCTGTTGAGTGAAGCTGATGCTTGATCTATTCAGTCAAACCTCTTTTAATCTATTTATTCATGGAATATTTAAATCTATAATTATCATTTGCAGTGTTTTTATGGGACTCTATCAATTTCATCAATAGCTGTCACTTTATACACTGTTTTTTATTGAGTTCTGTTCAACGACATCCATTTGCATTTCAACATACATTTGCATTCCATTGCCTATAGTACTGTATTACCAAAATTACACTGACCATTTCTGATAGTCCCTAGACTCTGTGTGTTTAGCTCCTTTCAATATCTATTTTAGATAGCAAAAGAACTGAACTTTTTTCTTGTCATACTGCCCAGTGAAAATACATGATATTGCAGCCATATTAACTCAGTGATGCATATTCAACCCTCTGAATGTTAGACGACTACTCTACCCTCTGAGCCACAGTCACCCCCTCAGAGAAGCCCCAAGAATTTTAAAATGACAAATACATTATACATCAAACAAATCTAGGTGGAAAATTGCATCAATGTGATGGATAATTTAGTTTTTTATTACCTAGGAATGCTGACATCAGTAAATATGGTGTTTCGCCTCAAGTGTTGATGTGGTGTGCTGATGGGAAATGATACAAAAACGCTCTAATGTAATTGTAACTGCTAAGTAAAGGCAGACTGGGACCGTTTTCTAGTTGGAATTCAAAGAAATACTCCAGTACAGCTATAATTTATACATCTATATGGGAGATGTTGGACTATGCAAAGAAGACATGATTTTATAGATACATGTGTTGATGGATTAAGGTGAGGTCTGCTATAAAATGATATCTTTAGCTTTTCTTTGGTTTGAAACTTTAACATATATTAATATCTGAGAAGAGACAGTGAAAAGTGCTCCATTCAGTCAAATGTTTACATTTCTCCTGTATAAAGTAAAGTAAGTAAAATTATAGTCATATAGAACCTTTCAAGAAAAAATAACAAATTTATTCAACAAAAAAAAAAATTTGAAATATGATTCAAAATAGATGACTTGAATAAAAAACAGATTTAACTAGACAAATCTTTAGGAGGCTTTTAAAGCAAGCCACTGCATCTGCTGATCTCAGAACCAGAAGAAAGACAGTTCCAGAGTTTTGAAGCCACAGACGAAAAAGCTTTGTTTCCTTTTGTTTTCAATTTTGTACAGGGGACAACCTGCATATCTTAATAACAGGACCTCAGAACCGAACTAAGGGTATATGGAAAATATAATGACCTTTTTTCAGGTGCAAAGGAGCTGGGGGGGTTTTGTATTTTAAATAAAGAAAGCTTTCATTCATCCAGCTAATAAAAAAATATGCAGCTTCGGACTTTCATTTGGAAGAAAAGGAATATTCAATTGATGTGAAACATATTTAAATGATGAGAGTACGGAATCAAGAGGGAGTAGATAAAGCAAAAACAATAAATGCCCCAAAACAGAGCCCTGTGGAACACCTAAATGAACAGGACATGAATAGGATCTGTGATTAGGTAGAACTTAGAAAGTCAATCTAACAGAAAGATATGAATAAAACAC